ACAACCAGAAAGTGACTACATACTTAATTTTATGTCTATTGTAATATAATACATAACCTAACTAACTAACCTTTCATCTGGGTGGAATTTTGTGATACAGATGTGTGCTTGTTATCCTTTAAGATAAATGACAGCTTACGTTTTACTTCCTTTAGTCTTTATACTAGATGACTGATTGAGTATTTTACATCCAAAATCAATATTTTCTCTTCTCTTAAAGAAATGGTGAATGTATTCACCCTCGGGTCATCCAAGATGTAGATGAGTTTGTTTCTTCATCAGATTTGGAGAAATGTAGCATTGCATCAGTGTCTCAGCAATGGATGCTCTGCAGTGAATGGGCGCCGTCAGAATGAGAGTCCAAACAGCTGATAAAAACATCACAATAATCCACAAGTAATCCACACCACTCCAGTCCATCAGTTAATGTTTTATGAAGAGAAAAGCTGAGTTGTTTATAAGAAACAAATCCATCATTAAGACGTTTTAACTTTAAACTGTTGCTTCTAGCCAAAATGTAAGTCCATCTCCAGTTGTCTCTCACATCAAAATCCACCAACATATTTGTTTAGATCTGTTTTGGACTGTTTTTGCTTCTGAATGCATATTTCTTTCCTGATTCAGACAGGATGATTTTTTTTTTTCCACTGGAGGAAGCAATATTACGGATAGAGGACTCTTATTTAAGTCAGAAACGACTGTTTGAAATTAAAAACGTCTTGATGGATTTGTTTCTTACAAGCATGCAGCTTTTCACTTCTCAAGACATTAACTGATGGACTGGAGTGGTGTGGATTACTTGTGGATTATTGTGATGTTTTTAGCAGCTGTTTGGACTCTCATTCTGACGGCACCCATTCACTGCAGAGGATTCATTGCTGAGCAAGTGATGCAATACTACATTTCTCCAAATCTGATGAAGAAACAAACTCATCTACATCTTGGATGACCTGAGGGTGAATACATTCAACCATTTCTTTAAGAGATGAGAAAATAATTGATTTTGGATGTAAAATACTCAATCAGTCATCTAGTATAAAGACTAAAGGAAGTAAAATGTAAGCTGTCATTTATCTTAAAGGATAACAAGCACACTTAGATGTTCTTAAGATTATCTTAAGAAGTACAAAATTAGTGCGCAAAAATAGAGCACTTTAAGTACATTATGGAAGTGTACTGTCAAGTCACTTAAGTGGCCTTTTATTTCGTTAATATTATATTATCTGCAAGTTTTTAATTTTTTTCTTTTTTAAATATGCTTTTAAGATTTGAAGTACACTACAAGTGCACATTCAGTACAATTAAGCGCACTTCTTTTTCACAAGACGTAACATAAACAAAAGGCAGAAATGATTGAGATTTCTTGTTAATTGGTGTTAAATGTTGTTGCAGGGTCGTCCCGCTGGGTGTGGAGCAGACCGTGAGCGGACACACGTTTCGTGGCTTCATGTCGCACGCAGATGCCTATCCGTGCCCGTACCTTAACGCAGCCTCTGCTATTGGAATAACCAGAGATGATATAACACTGTGCATCAAGAGACTCGATAAATGCCTCAAGAGCCTTAGCAAAGAAGCTTGTGGAGAGAAGAGTGAGTCAGGATCGCCAGCTGAAGATGTGGACGACTTAACCGTGCCCTGATGCTCTCGATGAAAGAGTTTGATACATAGGAATCATTTTTTCATAATTTGATCTTGTGGCAATAACCTTGTGTGTGAATGTTGATACATCAACATATAGCCACAAATGCATTTGTTTGTTTTCTGCATGCTTAATAAATGCGTTTTGACCTGTGTTTGATAGTGTACCCTAACTGACAATAAATACATTATTTTGTCATGTAAAGTCATCTGGCACTGCATTTTTTTTTTTTACACAGTCATTGGTTGAATAGACAATGCAGAGGGAATTCTTTGTTCTAAACAACATAAAAAGAATATAAAAGATTTTTTATTACTGAATATGAAAAATTACTCAGATTTAATGTGATTCGCTCAGATTGCAAGAAAAAGGATTGTCACTTGATGTAGCAAAACCTGCAATGAGTACCTGCGATTTATTCATTTATACTGATTTTACTAGGCACATTCTTGTCTTAGGCACTTGGAGAAAAGCTAGTGCTAATAATAAGATTAATAAAAATATTAAGCCGCATATTAATGCATTATGCTGCTAAACTTTAGTTAGACCTTATAAGACTCCCATTAGATTGTTTACCTTTATTTATTCATTAATTTATTTTCACGATGCGTTTCGCTTTAAACCGTATTGCACAAATATTCAAATATATATATATATATTTTTTTTTTCTATTTTTTTTTTTCTTCTATTTATTGAAAAATAGCTTTAACTTTAGTTAGTTGTTTTTCAGGACATCTATTTGTTAAACAGTATTGCAAAAATGTGCACTTTTTATATTTAGTATTTAGTATATTTATGTGTTTGTTTATTTAAAAGTAGCAGATCTACCATTTTTCCGGGTTCTAAGCTGTATTACATATGTTTTTTTTTTTTAGTTTTGTTTTTATTTACCTTTTTTTTTTGTTTTTGTTTTTTTTTCAGGACACATTTGATTTGAAAAAGTATAAAATACTACATTTTTATTTATTTATTTTGAAAATAGCTGATTATTTATTTTAAGGACTTTATTTATTATTTGTATTTATTTATTTTAAATTAAGAGAATTTCTACTATACTACCATTCCATTCAATAGAAATAAATCCATTAAATTTTATCAGCATTTTCTATTCCTGCCCTACCTTCAGGTGAGCATATTTTCCTTGAAGCATAATTTTTTTTTTTGTTTTTTAAGAATGGTCATAAAGCTGTACAGTGCTCACAAAGTGCTCACTTTCAGAGGAGTGTGTAAAGTGCTAGCTCGGCAACACAATAGTGCAGCGTTTTTAATAACATCTGTTGTGTGACGAAGCAGAGGAAGGTGCACAGTCTCTGTTTTCGCGTGAGAGGTGTTGAATCAGCTTTGCTCACACCTCACTATAATGCATTTAATGTGCACTCCAGCAGCATTTCTGCTCATGATTTATGTGGGATCAGCCTCTGCTGTTCTCTGCAAACCTTCTGTCTCCGTCCTCTACCTCCACCGATCTCTCCTGCGCTCCATATCCATCTGTTCAACAAGCTTTAGCTCTTAGTAATAATCTCTCCTCTTACTGTTTATCTCACTGTTTTGCTGATACACTTTTTTTCCAACCACTTAGGCTGCACTTATTCATTTCCTCTCATCATCAATCATGCGTGTTGATGACTTTGCTCTTAAAGCATCAGCACAGATTAGCCTACATCAAGCACAATCAATGATTTTTTCCCCCCACTAATTGTATTGTTATCATCTTTTTTTTTTTTTTTTTAAGCACACACTGATTGAGATTCAATGGTAATATTGTGTTCATTAGGTTGGTTTGGTTCTAGCCTTTTTTGAGTAAACGAACGAAAAATATAGGCAGCTAAAAAAAGAAAAAAACAACTGTGCAAATGGCTTTAAAACTGTTAAAACTGTAGAACTTTGCAAATCCGTTTATCTCCAACATAAAAGATAATTCTGAAAGACAGCTCCAGATGCTTTACTCTTAATGCTTTTACTCAGTCATCAATATCTGAGGATCGTGTCTCATTACCTACTTTAACTTCAAGTGTTTTGAAAGCAATAATAAAGCAATCTGCTGACAATAACACGCTTCCTTTCATCTTTGTGTTTTCTACACAGTACATTGTTTTAAATAGATTTTAGAATTCTGACAATTTGACAACAGCGAGACGGTCAAACAGCCAAAGACCCCACAAGAAGAGTTTTTTGGCTTTGTACTAATTAACAAAATTAATTTGTAACTTATATTCTAAAGCCCCACATTTTTTAAACTAATAAATATAAATAAAATAATAAACAAAAACTAATTAATAATAATAATTAAATTAACAATAAATAAGAATTAAATTGAATAATTAAAGTAACTAAATATTTAATAGTGATTATTGTTTTGTTGCATACTGTAAAAAAATTATTTTTCAAAGTTGTAAATAAAACCGATTACTGGAGTGTGTTTTACAAGAAAATGTCAGTCTTTCTACTTCAAAATTTCCTGTGTAATTTAATGTTACTTCGTTTCTTTGTAATTCTTTGTAAAATTAGCAATTTCTCATTAAAAAATTTCAGCGCCATTTTTTTTTCACTGTACCTTTTTTTTTTTAAAGAAAGGAAACAAAATAAATACATAGCAAAGCAGTTTTCTTGATGCCACAGAAGTTCTCTAAATGCAGTCATTTATAATCAAAGTAGACAGCATGTATTTTTGAAGAGTGAAAAAAATGCAATTTGACAGTACTTTTGTATTTTAATTGTTTTAAATAATAATAAAAAAAACAATGTATTTTAAATAATTTTAAAATGCATTTATACTTGCAATAAGTAGCTGTATTTCTGGCTATATTTGATTCAGACCATAGCTAAAATATAATCAGAAATATAACAGATTGTGTTTATGGTTGTAAGGTTATTGCCTTTTTTTCCCTTTTTTTTTTTTTTTTTTTTACATTTATGATTTACTGTCGGATTTAACATCAGATTTGGACTTTGGTAAATCATATACACTACCGTTCAAAGGTTTGGGGTTGGTAAGGGTTTTCTGGAAAAAGTCTGCATTTATTTGATCAAAAATTCTGTAAAAATACAGGTTCTGCCTCAAGATCCTGTTTAATGCAGGAAATGCATCAACACCGGATAGAAAAACTGCACTGCATGTGATTTCATGTGGACTTTAATGATGCTCCTCAAAATCCACAAGAGAAAAGAGAAGTCTCTCCGTTCTCTAAAATGGAAGAGACATTTTCATTATTTGTATCAGAAGGAATGCATATATTTCAGGATTCCTGACTGCACATTTGCTATATAGTGCAACTATGACAGCAATCATCATCGAGGCTGTTTAACCAGCATCCACCGTTATTGGGCGCCCTAATAAATAAATAAATAACGAAGTCGCGAGAGGAGAGAGCTGCTGATGTCAGGAGCTTCAGTGCTGCATTTACTGCTGCAGAGAGGATGAGCATCTCCGGATTCACACATGCGAGCCTGACGAGCAACATGCGGACTGTCGCGATTATATCGGCGCTGGTATTATGCCTGGCCTCGTTAGGCAACGCGGGGAAAAAGGTTTTTAAATGTCCTTCCTTGTGTAGCTGCTCCAAGGAGTCTATTATCTGCGTCGGGTCTTCGTATGTCCCGCGATTAATTCCCAACGATGTCAGTTCACTGTGAGTCCTCATAAGCTAATGCATTAGATCAGTTAGTAGGCTACACTTGTGTAAATATAGCATTTCAGGACCAGTGCTCAGTCATGTTCAGTCATATTGTTTTATATTTCTATGTAACAGGGTCTCGTTTTGTGTCGGGCTTGTATTGATTTTTTTTTTTTTTTGCATTTTGCAGGAGTATTGTGAACGGGACCTTCTCTGAGATCAAGGAGGCGATGTTCTCACACATGCCATCTTTACAGTTACTGTAAGTCAAGCCCATCTGACTAAGCACATGTGTATGACATACACTCTAAAAAATGCTGGGTTAAATACAACCCAGTGCACCCAGCATTTTTTAGAGTGTGATATCGATTCACTCTGGAAACTGTGCTTCTTGCAAACTCCGCATTTGTAGAAGAATTGGTAGATCTGATCATGTTTCATAGTAGAACATTGCTCTTTTCACGTGTATTTGCAGTAAATTAAAATCTTCTGCTGATAATCTATCTCACTTTACCTGAAAAGAAAAACTGTGGATTAAAAACTGTTTCATTTATATTACAGATTGTTTTGATAGATTTACATATCCATGGTATTGCATAAAGAAAACGGCTACCAAATTAGGCAGAGTCTACCAAAATATCTACCAAAAACTGTCATATTTTGCACAGTAGTGTTGGATAACCTCAAAAACAGACTGCTTTCTGGATTAAATTAGCTATCTAATGTTAGATTGGAGAATATTTTGGCATGTACAATAATGCATTCAGCTATTTGAGTAGGAATCTTGTTGATTTAGAGGCATATTGAAGAATTTATTAAAACGTTTTGTCTTCAGTTATTTAGCACTGGAATCCAGTGTACTCCTCAACTAAACACTTGAAGGTGACAGATGACGAATAGAAAGGCCTCTTTCACTCGCCCCTCTAGCTATTTAAAAAGTCAGGGCACATTTGCTTCCAGATAGTGACGGTTTTCCTCCTGTTGCCTTTTTGGCACTGAGAACACAGTGATGCGGTTGACTTTTCCATGCTGTCATTGGCGTATTGCAGGATGTTTGCGATTTGATATTTTGAGAAATAGAGTGATATAGAGAAATATGTGCGTGTCCTGGCATTCATTGTCATTTATCTATGTGTATTACACTGCAATGTAAACACACAGCCTGACATGTTACACTCTAAAAAATGCTGGGTTAAATATAACCCAGTGCTGGGTAAAATAGGGACAAACCCAACAATTAGGCTGTTTTGACCCAGCGGTTGGTTTAAATGTTCAACCCAACCTTCTGGGTAGTAACCCAACCACTGGGTCAAAACAACCCAATTGTTGGGTTTGTCCCTATTTTACCCAGCACTGGGTTGTATTTAACCCAGCATTTTTAGAGTGTATAATTTCATTGACAGTGATTGTTGGCAATGATTGAACTCTGACAGGTTGCTGAACTCCAATGCTCTCACCACAATAAGGGATGACGCATTTTCTGGCCTTCCGCACCTGGAGTACCTGTAAGTTTTCTTTAATTGTTATTTTATTCTTTTAAAAAACTTTATAGATAGTGCTGTTGCTATAGCTTTTTGACACTGCTGGGTTGTTTCAACCCAACTTTGGGTCAAATATGGACTATCCCAACCGTTGGGTTAAATTGTTACATTAGATTTTTAACCCAAAAATTGTGTTAGTCCATATTTGACCCAAAGTTGGGTTGAAACAACCCAGCATTTTTTTTAGAGTGTATAGAAATGGAAGGTCTAATTGTTTTTGAAGCAATAGTTCACCAAAAAATGAAAATTTGCAGAAAATTTACTCCATCCAAGATATAGATGACTTTGTTTCTTCATGGGAACAGATTTGGAGAAATTTTGCATAACATCTATTGCTCACCGATGGATCCTCTGCAGTGAATGGGTGCCGTCAGAATGAGCGTCAAATCCACAAGTAATTCCCACCACTCCAGGACCAGTCCATCAGTTAACATCTTGTGAAGAGAAAAGCTGCATGTTTGTAAGAAACAAATCCATCATTAAGCTTCTTACTTCCAGCAAAATTATGAGTCCTCTAACATTGCTTTCTCCAGTGAAAACGTCGTCTCGTCTGAATCAGGAGAGAAATATGCACAGATCAAGCACCGTTAACAGGTGAAAACAGCTCTAAACAAATATGTTATATGGTGGATTTTGATGTGAGAGGACAAAAATAGACTTTTTCACTGGAAGAAGTGTTATTATGGATTATGGACTCGTATTTTTGCCAGAAGCGACAAATTAAACTTAAAACACCTTAATGATGGATTTGTTTCTTGCAAACACGCAGCTTTTTGCTTCACAAGACATTAACTGATGGACTGGAGTGGTGTGAATTACTTGTGGATTATTGTGATGTTTTTATCAGCTGTTTGGACTCTCATTCTGACGGCACCCATTCACTGCAGAGCATCCATTGCTGAGCAAGTGATGCAATGCTACATTTATCCAAATCTGATGAAGAAACAAACTCATCTACATCTTGGATGGTACATCTTTAAGTAAACTCTTTATTCGAGAGAAAAATATATTGGGAAGCCGTGAGTTTTGAACAATTACATATTGGAGATATGCACACATTCTTTGAACATATGAATGTATCATTCTAACTTAATTCTATACATATTTAATTGAAATGTATTTACGTATTTTTCTTAAGTAATCGTTTTAATACTTTATTAATGGTTGTTTGGTTTCTAATAGTTGCTTAAGTTATAATCATCTTTGTTCCTTTTCATGTCACCATCTTTTACTCTTTCAGCTCTTAATTTTCTCTCCATTCTTTAGGTTTATAGAAAACAACAAGATTGAGACAACATCAAAATACTCTTTCAGAGGACTTAGGGATTTGACTCATCTGTATGTTATTTTTAATTATATTAAATGAACGTACATTTGCTAATTATTTGTATGGTACTTTACTCTAAACTGTTACTGTATTCCTCACAGGTCTTTGGCAAACAACAACATTAAAGCTTTGCCCAGAGATCTATTCATCGATCTGGACTCATTGATAGAGCTGTGAGTCTGAGCTTCTGTAAATGCTTACCTAGCGATAACTATTATGCAATAGAGTGCATTGAATATGATATGATAAACAATTACATGATAAGATGGCACCGACGCTGATGGCTGCCTCCATGGCGTGCTCCGCAGTTGTTTTTATGTTTTTGTTAGTTTGTCCTGTCTTTAGTTATATCCCTGCAATCAGTTTCACCAGAGACGAATTGCTGGACATTCGGAAGTACACACCACCCGATATTTCACCAGTTTTTGATTATTCTGATGTTTTGCTGGACATTGTAGTCGGGGGAGCTGTGGTGCTGATCAAGCGCTTCAGGACGCACAGACGGGGGAAGCGAGCCGGCGCGCTCGTCAAGCTCAGACAGCGCGGATTCAGGACGCCGTTGCCAAGCATCCATCTGGCAAAAACATACCTGGCAATAAAGCTCATTCTGATTCTGATTCTAAAATGTCTTTTTAAGCCTACAGGAATGAACACTATATAATAAGGTCAATGCTTATTGATGTTTTCATATATATTTCCTTGCAGAGACTTGAGGGGCAATGTCTTTGAGTGTGACTGCCGAGCGAAGTGGCTGATGATGTGGCTGAAGAGCACGAACGCTACTGTATCAGACGTCCTCTGCGCCGGTCCTGAGGAGATGAAGGGCAAACGGCTCAATGACATGGCGAGCTTGCATAACGAATGCATCTCTACAGGTATGTGAATGAGCATGTGCATGCTTGGTAGTGTGTTTGGACGATTTTTCCAACTACAAATCCAATTTAGTGCATTTTTTTAATAACTATTTACCAGTACATTGAAACAATTTGGTAAAAATAATTCTTAATGACGACATGAAATGAATTCACCACATCTGTTTTCTAAATGCATGCTATAGATCTTATTGTGAACAATTAATCCGTGCATACGTTTATTTATTTATTTTTTTTAAATTGACCTTTAATTTCATAACTGGATCTTCTAGTGAAATGACTTCTCTCTGGTGACGTATGCAGGACTTAACCTCCGCTTAAACTCACTCCTGCAAGCTCACACTCATCTGCCTCCACTTTTGAGTGCAACATCCACATCTGAAACTCCAATCAACAACCGATGCGTAGAACCAAGTCCTGCCATAAATTTTTTTTCTATATAGAAGTAAAAGGAAGAAAACATCTGTTGCTATTCACTCTTAAAAATAAATGTTGAAATGGGGCTTTCACGGCAGTGCCATAGAAGAACCATTTTTGGTTTCCTCAAAGAATCTTTCATTGAACAGTTCTAAAAAATAACCATTTTTTATTAGTGCGAAGAACATTTTTAAGAATCTAAAGAACCTTTTTCCACTATAAAGAACACTTTGTGGAATTGAAAAGTTCCATGGATGTTAAAAGTTCTTCATGGAACCATCAGTGCCAATAGAGAACCTTTATTTTTAAGAGTGTAATTCCATGTCAACTTTAAAATCCGGGACACACCGTGCTGAGCGTCTGTTGGGCTAGTTTTTGCAGTGTGTTCCACATATCATGCAGCATATCAGTTATGAGATGCAAAACAGTTACTAAGATGCAATTTTACCATATGTTGTCCAGATTTCGTTCCTCTCCACTCTGTGTCTACTGAGTCTTTGTCTGTGGACACGTTCTCCCACAAGAACGACGTGTACGTGGCCATCGCTGCTCCCAACATAGAGAGCTGCATGGTGCTCCAATGGGACCACATCGAGATGAACTTCAGGAGTTACGACAACATCACAGGTACAGTCATGGTAAAGCCATCATATGAAGGATTGCGTATGGCCAAATAAATCTCATGCAATGTGTTCTCTTTTAGGTCAGTCCATAGTTGGCTGCAAGTCTGTGATCATCCAGAACCAGGTGTTTGTCATCGTTGCTCAACTCTTTGGTGGTTCCCACATCTACAAGTTTGATGAAGACCAAAGCAAGTTCACAAAGTTCCAGGACATTGAGGTTTCCAAGATTTCCAAGCCGAATGACATCGAGGCCTTTCAGATCGGCAGCGACTGGTTCTTCATCATCGCTGACAGCTCGAAGGCTGGACTTTCTACTCTCTACAAATGGAACGACAAGGGCTTCTACTCCTACCAGTCGCTTCACGAATGGTTTCGTGATACCGATGCAGAGTTTGTGAATTTGGACGGTAAGGCCCATCTTATCCTAGCGAGCCGTTCTCAAGTACCGGTCATCTACCAGTGGAGCAGGAGCACTCAGAAGTTTGCCTTGCAAGGAGAGATCCCAAACATGGAAGATGTAGTCGCTGTCAAGGCCTTCTGGATCAAGGAGGATCTTTATCTGGCCATGACCCGATACATCGGCGACTCCAAAGTCTTGCATTGGACTGCTAAGGAATTCTCCGAGGTCCAGGCGCTTCCTTCGAGAGGGTCCATGATCCTGCAGCCATTTTCCTTCAAAGAAAGGTACTACCTGGCTCTGGGAAGCGACTACACCTTCTCGCAGATCTATCTGTGGGATGCAGAGGAGAAGGTTTTTGAGCGTTTCAAGGAAGTCTACATCCAGGCTCCACGTTCCTTCACTGTGGTCTCCACTGACCGGAGGGACTTCGTATTTGCCTCCAGTTTTAAGGGCAGCACACAGATCTTTGAGCATATCATCATTGATCTGAGTCTTTGAGTGCTGTTGTGGACACAGTCGAAGTTAAGGCACGTCAGTAACCCCTCGTTTAGCAGTTGGACGTTTTTTTCTGGAAAGCCAATTAGTGGGTTTTAAGACGAGGGAAGTCTGGGAAGCAAACGTAACATGGCATTAGCAGGTTCACAGTAATAAGTATTACATCATGCATCTGTGTAGTTTTACATAGATTCTGGGAGGGCCTTGACATTTTTTGTTGTAATGTATTAGAATTGTTATATAATATATAGAACATTTACTCAGCCCTGCTGAAAACATTTCTGCCGAACATACGGTGCATGGACTGCGGAAAAGAGTTGCACTTGTCACCTGTAACTACCTAAATCACTCTACATAATGATATATACTGTAACTCTGAGAGCCTTTCAAAACTCTGTATGCAACAGCTGATACCATGCATGACGCGGCTGCAACAACATTGAGAATAAAAAAATACAATTTTCAGAGCAGGCATGCAGATCAAGTAGTGATACAGGTGACAAATGCAGTCTTATTATCTTTAGAGACATTGTTACCTCATTGTTCATTATTTATTTAAATCATATCTCTCTTTTGGTGGACTAAGTTTTAATGTCAAGTAATTCATCTTTTAAAATGAATCGCCTCTATTATATTTACCAGGATCTGTTCAGAGTTAAACGAATCAAAACTTATATATCAGTTATGTGATTTTTAGGCAGAAATGTTTGTGTTTATGTGGCTGGTTGTAATGAATTCAAGAATGGAGGCTTTTGTGAAAGAAAAAGATCATCTACGTTTCAATACAGGGTAATTGTCAAAAGCACAAGCCTTTAAAATCATCATACGTCTATTAATAGAGAAAGAGACTTAATCTTATTCATTACAACTTATTTTGGATAAAGATTTTTTTTTTTGTTCTGTGCAATGAATGTAAACTGCTTTTTATTTTAAGTACTAGTGACAAATGTTGAATGTCTGACTTGTTTTGAAAACAAGTGCGTTAAAATAAGAACCTCATTTTCATAGTTTTGCAAACTGGGATACAGAGAAAAGAACAACACAACCCTAAATAATGACTGCAGCCTGCAAAAGCATGATATTCAGCTATTAATATTCAATAAGTCTTATAAAAAAATCAATAAATAACAACTCTTACTTGACCATATAATGTCTGCTCATTCATACCAGTTTTAGCTTAATCTGATACGCAAAAATAGAATTTTCATTTTGTAAATCATTGTTCTTATTCTCATTTGTTGAATGTTAAGACGTGTTTTTTGAATACTAATGTAAATAAATGCGTGTGAACACTGACTATCATTTGATTATTAATTCATAACACACCTGGTTTCTAACCAAATGTACAGTTTTGAAAGAATGAAGAAATTAAGATGGTTAGCCACCTTGGAAAGGGGGGGATTTTGATATTATCAAAGTGACATTGAATAACATTACAGGGTAAAGATAAATCGATTGGATTGGCCACAGACATGTAGAATTAGCCTAGTACATTTTCATACACTGAGCAATCGTCGGCTCGTTTTAGGATGCTATTTAAACTAGGCATACTGTAGCATCAACTGTTTATTAGCTACAGCACAACACCTTTCAGTGGTTTCTTACACAACCTTTTTTTCTAAAGTAGGTGTGGGGTGGATGATGTGTAGAGTGTAAGAACAAGGAAGTTATCGGATATCAGTATCAAGATCGATGTCAACGACGCAGATACCAATACGATAGGCCTGAATGGAAAGTTTGTGTGATATCTGGGAATAAAATAGGTAATTATAACTATCTAACATGCTTGACAGCCGTAATTTTTAGCATTTAATCAGACTTCTGCTGAGCATTTATTAATAGCAATCATATATCATTGCCAGTCACAACTTCAAATTGAGTCACAAAGCCACACAAACAAGTTATATTAAATGTCGCATTCATATTCGTGGCTTTTTAATGTAAAACGACTGGATAATATGACTTTCTATCTTATTGAACGAGCGCGCTGATATCGAAAAAGCGTGTTTAGACCGGTTTAGATGTGCATGAGAATCCTTTCTCTTTCTCTTTTAACGTTGTGAAATGCATTTTCACAGTGTAGAAATGATACAAGTTACTAGTTTAAACACTTTAGATATACTTGAAGTAAGGACCTCTTGATAAGTGAGCACCCGCCACCGAAAGGATGCATTCTTCGAGATCGGGCCGCCATCGTTTCATTTCCATGAAAACAAAAAAGCGCGCGCAAAAGCGAGGGTTTTATTTTTTCCATCGTTATACAAATTTTGTACTCGTGTATATTACAATAATAAGAAAAGTAAAAGGTTAAGAATTGGTTGCTGAAATTCATACTGTACATTGTGTTAGGATCAAGGGGTTAAACTGGGCTATAACGATTGAACCAAAATGCATTTTCGTTCCAGTCAACACGTTCAGACTGGTTTGATCATGTTGGGGATTGCTCTGCTCTTTTTAACTTGCACAACAACAAAAGCAAACGTACAGCAACTTGAACTGAAAAGTATGCACTAGTCAAAATTCTAAAGTTGTGCATAGGCTTCCAATAATGTAACAAGTGGCTACACAAAGTGCAATATCCTAAAAAGTCTGTAAAACATGGAAGAATAAAGAATAGTTTTAAAGACTTATTTTTACAACAGTACAAAAAAGTAATAACTTCAGTGTATTCATATTATTTGAAAGAGTGCAGGTTTTTTATGTTTATTAATCTTTATAGTTGGAATGTTTTACTTAGTAAATGTTTAAAATAAATAGTTTAAATGTTTCCACATGTATTTTCTCAAAACATTTTATTTTCGTTGACAATATTATATGGCATTTTAGTCAGATAAAATAATAATAGAAAAATAAAATTGACAAATTAATACATGACATGATGATACTGACAGAATTTAAAGATTTTCAACTTAAAAATGCTATGACTAAAAAAAAAACTTTATAAAAATGAACACTGTGTCTATTAACAATGTAAAGAAAGAAGAAAATAAGTGATAATGCTATACTCAGTGCCTGAATTATTTCTCTCCACAGATTGTAATAAACATTTAAAGATCCATGGCAAACCCATTTTCAGTATTTTCAGTTCCATTATTTTTTTTAGAAGGACCTAAAATAACAGACCCCCTAATACAATGCATCATAGACAACAAGTTAAAGAAACTTTGCAAATTAATCGGAGGCAGAGATATTAATGGACTGTACCCTTCTAAAGACTGGAAGGATGATGTTACTCCATTATCTGCAGCAGTTTTATGCAGAAATGAAGAAATCTGCTCTTATCTACTTGAAGAGTCAGCTGATCCAAACAAACCCTCAACAATTGGACTAACTCCTCTACATTACGCTGCTTTAACTGGAGTTCCACTGACTATTGTGAAAAGATTACTTGCAGCAAAAGCTGATCCAGATAGACGAGGATCACAAATGTGCACTCCACTGCAATGTGCTGTTGATCGTGACTATGAAGACATTGTGAAAGCACTTATAGAGGCTGGAGCTTCACCTGAAAAGAGCATTGGGTTGAATCCAGAGCTTAATAAAAAACTGGAGAGAACGATTCATCAATTATCTTCACAGGGTGAAGTGTTTGAGAAAGTACATCTATTTTTCTCTCTTTCTCGTGCTCTACGAACAAACAATCTTTGTCGAAGCTATAACGAACATTTCTTTCAAGAGCATCCTTTCAATCATACTGTTCTGCTTGAGCTCTACTTTAGTGTCGTTGATATGGAGCAGTATCATCACATCGCCATCAAATGGTTAAAAGACACAAAGAGTGCAGACAGATACATGGAGGGAGTCATCAAGCGCTTCCCAAGAATCCCTCAGGAACACTGGCCAAATGCACTGGACTGCTTAAATGCTGCTTTGTGTGTCAGTGAAAGTGTTTCTCCTCAGGTATTCAGTGATCTTGTGCCAATTCTAACTAAAAGTCTTCAGGACTCTGGAAACACAGACGGTGAAACAGTCAGTTTGATACTCAAAATACTCAATGTCATGATGCAGAAGACGTCTGAGCAGAAACTGAGTATGAATCTTTCCGTCTATGAGAAGTTGTGCAAAAGTCTGTTGCCTCTCACACGTCCTGATTATTCAAGTCTCATTGGAGTTTGGACATATGGACTGTTTGCCTATATAAATGACTTCACTCCTAAACTTGTAGCATTTTGTGGATTGTCACCCGTCCCAGAGATGATACTTATCAAAGCAGAGACAGAGATGGATAAAGTCATGAAAAAAAAGCTGCAAAAGTTGGATGAATCACTGAGACATCCAACAGGTTCGAGTGCAGTGGATAGTTTATGTGAGGAGACTGCAGCTCTATCAACAAGCAGGAAGAAGAAGAAAAAGAAAAAGAAGAAAAAAATCCAGCAAGAAGAAGGATCACAAGAAAGTGAGCAGCAAGATAAAGAGGACACTGTAGTGACATCCATTGAGGAATCAAGTCCCAGTGTGCAGCCGTTCACACAACCTAATGAAACCCCAAATATCCCAAGAAGGTGGCATCAAACCAGCTGTCGTTGGAGGTCCAAGCTTGAGAAGCTAGCTAACATTGATGCTAGCAAGACATACAGACCGCCAGGTCTTACTCTTGTTCTTGACCCCGAATTTCTGATCGCTAAGGGAAGTGATGGAACAGAAGTTTACCTTGGATTGAGGGATGATGGCACTGAGGTGGCTGTGAAACAAATGATTAAGTCTAATTACCAAGTCCTCAAAAACGAGGAGGAATTTCTACGACTCCCAGAACTTGATGATCCCTCTATCGTGCGATATGTGGACTTCGCTGAAGATGACAATTTCGGATATCTTGTTCTTCAGCTTTGTGAGTACACACTGGAGGAATATATCCAAGATCATTTACCAGATGACAGCGCTGAGAGATCTTTGGTTCTGAAGAAGCTGGTGAAGGAAGTTCTCTGCAGCTTACAGGTTTTACACGACAAGAAGACCAAAGTGCTCCATCGAGACATCAAACCCCAGAATGTCCTGATTGGTAGGAGCTAAACTTATGTGATTAAATTAATTAGAATACTTTTTTTTCTTTCTAGAAATAATTAGAACTTTCTGTTTGTTACAGACATAAAAGGACAAGCCAGATTGGCTGATTTTGGCATAAGTCGCCGACTGAAACACGGCGAAACCACTTTACGAACAAGCATCGCTGGAACTAGATGCTGGAAGGCAAAGGAAAACATACATGAGAAAGTCAACACTGGCTACAAGAGGAGCTCCGACATTCAGGTGGTCTCTCCTCTCATTTTGAGTCAACAATATTGTAATTATTTTAAATTAATTAAAAATATTACAAATATATATAATGAGAAATTTACTTATTGACTTAAATACAATTAATTTTAATTTTAGTAGACGAAAATTCTAAACTAGTAACACTGTTTGAAGGTTGCTGGGATGTTAGTGTACTACATTCTCTCTGGAGGACAACATCCATTTGGTGAACAACCATTTTGTGAAGTCAACATTTTACAAGGAAGATACTCACTGGATCATCTGGATAATGATGTAGCGAAGGATCTCGTCGAGTGGATGATAAATGAAGATCCAAACAACAGACCAACTGTGGAGCAAACCCTCGCACACCCCTTCGTCTGGACTGATGACAGGTAAAATACTCCATTGAGTTGGCAATGACATTTATCACTCTAAAATTAACAAACACCTCATGACCTTATTAAACTCATGATTTTTAATTTTGGTACAAGCTAGAGAGTTTCAGCACTGCTTACAGTACTAGCAACTTATGGTTTTATATTAAATGAAGGGAAAACTGCATTGCATATAAACTTTTTTATTAGCTGACGAGATTGAACTGTTTCTGAAATCCTGTCAGGAGAGTGGAGTATTTGAAAAAAATGGGGAACCAGAAAGAGGTTAACAACTATCGTAATGTTGATGAGGAGCTCCTTCAAGCCGCTGAAAAATACACAGAGGGGAAAAGCTTTTCTGAATGGAAGACTAAAGTGGGTCTAACTTCAATGCTCAAATATGCAAAAATACTTACATAAAATATGTAAATATATATAAGAAATGTTTAAATAATAAAATAATCTTCAAAACTTTGATTTAATGTCTTCAAGACTTTCCTCAGTTGAATGTAAAATCAGATAAATGTAGTGCATGGCCTGCTATAATCTTGGTCTGGAAAATAAATTGTATTTGTAATTATATTTCTTTTGTCAGTTTCCATCTGAGATTGTCCAGAAACTGGATGGTAAGAAGAAAGCCTATCCTGAGAACACACTGGGCCTGCTGCGATTTATACGCAACCTACACGAGCATTAGTGAGTGACATGTAATACCATACAAGGTATTTATACCAGAATAATTTAGTATTATTGTGTGTCAGACCATGTCTTTTTTCTCTACATAGTGCAGAGGACGCGGAGAGCATCAGCCTGATGGCTTCATTCCCTGATCTGTTTGGGAGTGTGTTCATGTTTGCGAAGGAGAGAGGATGGAACTCCAGAGCGAGTCTGAAAAAGTTCTTCAGCTCAGCTCCACAGATCTGATTGTTGTATTTTTGGTTTCAGTATGTACATTGATTCTACATCATGAATGAGTTTAAATGTATGGATAAATGTAGATTCATTGTTTTCATGAAATGAGGCCCTGACAGCTGAAAAACTCTGACACCTGAGGAGACAAAATATACCAAAATATACCAAGAGTATGTAGTGCATTTTTAAACTGGCTAATTTGTTTAATCTCAGATATTGATTTATCTTGTGGAAAATATGTAGATGTTACAGAGCTTCCTCATGGCAGTACTAAATAACAACAACAAAAAAACAAATTATCACACTTCATAAAAATTATAAACATTTTACAGATTCTACACTCTAAAAATGCTGGGTTAAAAACAGCCATTTCTGGCTTTGGCAACTAAGTGCTGGGTAAATATTGGACAGAACACATGCTGGGTTATTTTAACGCAGCTTGTTGGCTTTTATACATTAACCCATTTGCTTGTTGTTTTGACATAGTGCTGCTGGGTTCCCAAACGATTAAACGTTGTAATTAAAAGGAAAGTTGATGTGACAGAGTGTTAAACATGCCTCTGCCCCAACTTTTTTGGAGTGTGTTGCGGCCATCAAAATAATTTATATTATATATATATATATATATATATATATATATATTTACACAATACAATTAATTTGGTCAGTGAAAACATTGGAAATCTTTGTACTTCTGTCAATTAAATAAAGGTTCAAGGGAATTAACTAATCTCAGATTCTTGATTTTATTTTACAAAACATCCTAACTTTTTTTCTGATTTGATGTTGGAAATAAAACTACAAAGGACTACAAAAGCCAGCACAGGAAACAAAGAAACGAGAATTTCAACATAAAAGTCCAAAAAAAAAAAACCAGCTTGGGAACGTATGACAGTGACCTGTAATTCTGACAACAAGAAGGCCAATAGTCATGCAAAAATAAGAAAGTCTCTATAAGTGTTACTGAACTCTGGGTAATGAGAATGGTTTTAAAATAGATAGAAACTGACAATATACCTTTTTGGGGTAATAATCACTGGGGTAACATTTTGTCCAAAACAGAGGTAAAATTCAGAGCAACTCACAGGAAACTACAGTCTACATTACTACGTTACAATCTACACAGAATGGTTGAGTGTGAGCGAATTTCAATGGTAGTTGCTCTGCTGGCTCAGGAACCCCTGAAAGTACAAACATTTTATTTTATTTTATTTATTTATTATATTTTTTTTTTGGAATCAAACTTTGAAAAGTTTGAAATTGCTGTGAAAGTCATGATATTACAAAAGAGCATTTCTATTTCAAAGAAGTGATGTCTTCTTCAAATCTTTAGTCAAATAATTTTCCACTCGCAGTAATGAACACTCTGAATTACAGCAGTCAGTTTATCAGGATCTCATGATTTTTGTAGCATTTCCAGCCATTTTTTCCTTCAGGGAAAGCGTTGATGTATTCAAAACATCCGGTAGTGTGGGTTTTCCAGGAAATTCATGTACTTCCCAAACCTCTGCTTCTAGTAAATACTACTGTGTATTGTGCATTTATTTGACAGACAAAAGGTTACTACATTCAGCTGTTGCAAATTTGTTGACTTTTGAAAGTCAAGTTTTGAAAATCAAATTTTGACTCAGATTAGATGAGGATATGGATGATAACTTTTAGAAGGATATTGGTTTACTTATGCCTTTTTTAAAGACTTGAGCTTAACTGAGATTTCAGCGTTTGTAGTCGTTTAAGAGGCTGTTGGGTCAGCCTTGATTTATTACAATATTGAGGTAGACCTAATTCAGTTTTAGTTTTGATTTTAGAAAATAAACGTGATTGCTCTCCTCACAAATCAACTGTTTCTTTTATTTCACTGGCATTTCTTTTAGGTGTTGAGGACTAGTGCGTCTTGGAGCCCACATTTAGTTCTAGTAAAATACTTAAGTACAGAGATCTTCTGTCTCAGGCGCAGGGGACAGTATTTCATCCCCGGCCCGAGCTCTGGAACCTTCATGTCTGGCCACTGAGGGGAACCAACTAAGAGATGCTGGGCTTCCAGCCGATGTAGTAGAGACTATTATAAGTGCTAGGGCTCCCTCCACTAGAAGAAGTTATGCCCTCAGATGGCATGTTTTCGAAAGGTATTGTATGACACACCATGCAGACCCAGTTCACTGCCAAATTATTCCAGAGTTTTTTTGCAAGAGAAACTGTCCTCAGGCACATGTCCTTGTACTCTTAGAATCTATGTGGCTGCCATTTCGGCTTGACATGCTCTGATTGATGGGGTTTCTGTGGGAAAGCACCCTTTAGTCGCCCACTTCATTTGTGGAGCCAAGCGGTTGAGGCCGCCCACTAGAGCGACAGTCCCTTCGTGAGACTTGGCTATAGTACTCGAGGGTCTGGTTGACACCCCTTTCGAACCACTAGAGTCAGCACCTGTCAGGTTTCTGACCCTAAAGATGGTTTTTCTAATGGCTATATCTGAAGAGAATTGGGGATTTGCAGGCTCTTGTCAGTCTCGCCATCCTGCCTAGACTTTACCCCTGGGCTGGTCAAAGCTATTTTGCATCCTCACCCTAATTATCTTCAGAAAGTTCCATTCTCGACCATACATCCAGTCGTTCTTGAAGCCTTCTGCCCTCCGCCGTTCACGACACCGGAGCAGGAAAGACTTCACTTTCTGTGTCCAGTACATGCTCTTCAGATTTACGTCCACCGCACCAGCCAGTGGCGTAAGTCGGAGCAGCTTTTCACATGCTATTGGGGCCGCAACTGGGGGCAGCTGCCACTAAACAAACTAGGTCACATTGGGTGAGGGATGCTATTGCCCTAGCCTACGAGGTGCGTGGTCAAGCTTCGCCTCTAGGAGTTACGGCCCATTCAACCAGGGGGGTTGCATCTTCTACGGCTTTAGCAAGAGGTGTCCCCTTGCAGCAAGTGTGTGATGCGGCAGGCTGGTCCTCTCCGCACACATTTGTCAGATTCTATAGTTTGAATGTCCATGCTACTCCGGGCTCACGTGTCCTTGAGTCAACATCCCAGAGTCATGTCTGAGACCTCTTCAGTGCTTGTGAGCAAACACTACACAACCTTGGGGGGTCCAGACACTTCCAGTACGGTGGCGTTGGTATTCTCGTTCCCGCAAGCGTTTGAAATGCAGCATCGAGAGTAGCTTTTGATAGGGAACGTTACAGGTTACTTGACTGTAACCCTGTTCCCTGAAAAAGCGGGAACGAGATACTGCGCCTCAATGCCGCACTGTAGGCGTGCCCGGATGTCCTTTCAGACAAAGGTGAACAGGATGTGTCCATTTCAATGATGTCACCTACCGAGGTTATTTAAGCCAATTCTTGGCGTGTTTGACACATAAGCTTTACAACCGGTCGAACAAAGAAGGTTCTCACAAGCGTTTGAAACGCAGCATCTCGTTCCCGCTTTTTCAGGGAACAGGGTTACAGTCAATTAACCGAGATGGACACCTTGTTGCCACACGCATCTGTAGTCTAGCGCAGTTTAATCCTCACACTTTAATAGTATTTACAGCTGCTAACAGGTTGTGACTATGAGGAATGAAATGTACGATGCTACATAGTTTTCCCTATCGCTCGCGTGCCACTGCTTGTGATTATCCCTTATGCCGAGTTCACACTGCACGATTTTCAAACTCGTCGGATCGCCGTTGTTTTCACACTGTGTGACTATCCGGGGTAGAATTCAGTTGCTGCTGTGTTCACACTGCACAATGGATCGGCGACAGGAGGTTTCACATTGCATGACTTCACAATAGAATCTTAGAATCTTAATAGAATAGACTTCACAGAAGAATCACCGACAGCTCTGTCTGGTGCAGGGTTGCCAGGTTTTCGCTACAAAACCCGCCCAATTACTACTCAAAACTAGCCTGAAAATAGCCCAATTGCTTTCAAGGGGGTCCCCCAATAAAAATCGCGTTCGGGGGTAAAATACAAATTTTTTTGGCGGGGTTCTCCTGGTACAATTCACATTTCAGGGCCTAAATATCACGTTATCTGTAGGTCATCGCCGATGTGTTTTTCAGTCAGAAATCATTGCACAGAGCGTGATTGTGAATCGTCGACAGCTCCAGATATTTAGCATGGCAAATATTTCACAGGCGTCGGCGACGCGTCGGCGATTCCCTCAGATCGCGTCTTTGATAATTCACACTGCGTGATTGTCACTCGCGTGAACGAGGCGTGCCAGCGTTAACTTGCCATAGTTTGCCGACCCCTGCTCTAAACTAACCAAGCTCATGACCTTATTAAACTCATGATCTGTAATTTTGGTACAAGCCAGAGAGTTTCAGCACTGCTTATGATCCTAGCAAATTATGGTTTTAAATGAACTTCCCCTATTAAATGAAAGGGAAATTGCATTCTATCTAGATCAGGGCTGCGTTCAGCCCCGACAAAAACGGTGCAAAACGTTTTTTAAACGGAAACGGTGGTGCGTTGAACACCCTGTTCTGATGACTCAAGAGTTGCAACTATGGCAAGGACAGTCGATCGCCAGGAGCAGGGTTGGGCACCCCTGCCATACACTGTATTTGTACTAGAATAATTTAGTATTATTGTGTGTCAGACCATGTCTTTTTTTCTCTACATAGTCCAGAGGACGCTGAGAGCATCAGCCTGATGGCTTCATTCCCTGATCTGTTTGGGAGTGTGTTCATGTTTGCAAAGAAGAGAGGATGGAACTCCAGAGCGAGTCTGAAACAGTTCTTCAGCTTAGCTCCACAGATCTGATTGTTATATTTTTAGTTAAACTATGTACATTGATTTTGCATTATGAATGTGTTTCATGAATGAGTTTAAATGTAGGGACAGATTTAAGATCGTCACACTCCTTGTATCTGATGAGCTAAGATTTATTCTTCTCTGCAAACAAAGTTCTGACAGCTTGACACAAAATGAAAAACCATGGATATGTAAACTTTATTTCAGTTATTGTATTTTCTTGTTGAAAACATGCAAACATCTATAAATATATCAATTAATAAATAAATAAACATCTTTTTAAATGATCTGCATGTTTAAATAATGAATTGATAGAAGTCATTATGTTATTATATAAGAAATGTAATGTTAATTTGAATAAGGATAAGATAGAAATGTGTTTATAAGATACATAAATAGGATTAATAATAAGATTATATTTTTTTTCAACAATACAGTAACTTCTTGTTCCTTCTTTACAAGGATGCCTGTTGCCATCTTGCCCTTTGGCAAATGTGCATTTTGATTAAAAACACACAAAGAAAGTTATTGTTCATATCCAAGCAAATCTGACGTAAATGAAATATCCTGACCTTCTCATAAAACCCCATGACCTGAAATTCTGGCAACAGACAGACCAGTCATACAGCAAAATGAAAGTCTGTCTAAACACAGTGGCAGAATGGATTTAAAACTCACTGGGGTAACATTTTGTCCTAAACACTGGCAAAACCCACTAAATTTCTCCTTTCAAAAGCTAATTTTTTTTCCACAAGGTTTTTCAAAGACATTTATTATATTTACCAAAGCTCTATAAATTGAACAAAATCAATCCTTAGTACTAAGGACTATGAAACC